AGATCTTCCACGAAAGTGACAAGAATTCTGCTGAATCTTATAAGAATCTCACAACAATTCATAAGAAATTGGTAAGAGTCAGCAAAACTCTTACGTTATTCTTATCAGATTCTTATGAGAAATATGATCGAATCTCTTATAGAAAAATCCCAGTATAGTACTGAAAAAGGTTCGGCACTACCAGTGCAGACGGCATGCGGTACGTACTAGTTCCACATTTTTCCAGTCACCATTTGTTATCTACGATTGCATTATGTTTTACTCGGACTTTTCTTCGAGAACATAGTGCAATCAAATTTTAATGCGAGCAGACAATGCTTTGATCTTGTTATAATCTCTATCTGGAAAGGAAAAATCGGTATAAATAGCGAGTCAGGTAGTAAATTCAGAGGATGTACACAGTAAATTCAGCTCTCTGTCCGTTTATCTAAATAGATCTCATTTTCGCTAGTCACAATGCTACACAATCGGATTTCTGGACAAGTTTTCTTTTGAGACACATCTCTGTCGCAGATTAACTCAGTCCGTATGTGTCACCAAAAAAAGTGAAAAACAACAACTTTTGATATAAAAGAGTCACTTAAAAAGAAAGTGTGTCCTAAGGTAGCTGAAACACTGATTTCACCGTGTTTTACTCGGTTTTCTCTTCGGGAACATAATGCAATCAGGGTCAATCATTCACCTCAGACTCACTTTGAAGTTGAGATCAAACTTGGACCTGATAAAAAACACTCAAGTCCAAGTCTGTCAACTAATACTTCAAGTAGGGACTTGGACCTACCCATTTTTAAGAAGGAGGTGTTCAATCTTGCTCTAGCTTTTCCCGATTTTGTCGCATTTGTATAGCAAAGATGGCCAGAAATTGGAGAAAACAGCAAATATCTACGCAAAGCACATCACCGACAGAAAATTAAAGTTCATTTAGAGTTAAAGAAAAGTGCTTTTTTGTATTCAGTACACTTGATGATCTGTACTGAAAAATTTTCTATTTTTAGCAAGGGGTATCACCAAAAAGTTAAGAAAACTTTTCAGAATTGTATCATTAGCGCAAAATCGTTTCAAATTTTTTTTCTGAAGAGCTTATTATATGAATCGACGGTCAGCAAAGTATCTCTTGATTCAAATCACTTTTCGCATTTTGACATGAATAGTGGCGCCACTTAAAACTCGCAACTATTCGCGCCAAAATGCGAAAAGTGATTTGAATCAAGAGAAAGTTTGCTGACCGTCGATTCATATAATAAGCTCTTCAGAAAAAGATTTGAAACGATTCTGTTCTCCGTATAAAAGTCGATTTTGCGCTAATGAATTTTACCATGTGGATTTTTCTACGTCAATTTGTCTGAAAATTTTCTTAACTTTTTGGCTGTAGCCCTTGCTAAAAATAGAAAATTTTTCAGGTTATCAAGTGTGCTGAATACGAAAAAGCACTTTTCTTTAACTCTAAACACAAACTTTAATTTTTTTTTATCGGTGATATGAAAACCATAAAAAAGTTTGCCAAAATCGGAGTAAACTCATTCCATTCTATTATAAAACTAGGAGAAATTTCCCGAGCCTTTTGTTCAAATTGGAACAAATTTCCAACGAAATTTCTGAAACCGGGTGTAGTGCACTCCTCTCAGACAAACGGTCGTTCCACCACTGGGTTTTGGGAAAGTTTGTGTTAATACGAATGTCGTTATTGACGAGATCTTTGCCGGAAGACATATTTCTTTTAGAAAACATGATTAAAGACCGTGTTTTAACGTCGGGCTTTTCCTCTAACAATCCATCGTATGAAATGTCGCTAGATGCCGGCAAATACAGAGGTTCTCATGGAAGGTGTTCAAGTAACTGTTTTCAGAAAGAATTCGATAAAATATGTCCTCGATAATGCGCCAAATAAGCAAACAGATTAAATTGCGCATCTAATACCATATGCATTTTCATTGGTAACTAGTTGTATTCAATGAATAATTATGATATGAGTCATTTAATAACATGAATATAATAAAAGTAATGATACTCATAACACAAATAAATGAATAATATAATACAGCTTTTTCGATTTCCACCTGTTTGTTTGTTTGTGTTCGAACTGGACGTTAGCTCATAGAAAAGAAGACAAAAAATTTCAGTATAGTGAAGTGTTTTAACGTGTCAAAGAAATGTTCTCAGCAGTCGTTTTAATGACAGAACACCTTCGGTACACTTGTGGAATTTATAATACACTTGATTCTCTTCTACTCTACTAAGCTGAGAAAAACAAATCATACTTCGAGAGCGTTTCAAAATATATTCCGGTCGGTCGGTCGCAATTCCGCTCTTCTTCTATTTCGACAGTATTCTGTTCATTTTTGTATAGCTATGGATACAACATAATTTAGAACTGTTTTGTATATAACTGCCTTGCTTTGTAATTGCATAAACATATAAAGTGTGGAGTCATTTTTTTTCTTTACAAATCATGAGGCGACAGATAAAGAAGTAATATTTCTATATTTTAGCATGCATCAGCATTTTTGTCTACATTTTATCTTTCTAGCCTTTTTCAGAAGCTGAACTATTTCATAAGGTCATTTTTTACGTATAGCATATTTAAATGATACGATAAATATTATTTAATATTGATCTATCTCCAAAAATGTTTTTTGTAGTAAACTTATTATCATTGAAAATTCAACATTACTGTTAATCCCGATTTAACCGTTACAAGCAGCTCCAAAAATTGTACCCGAATACCTTTTCTCGAAGGTCTGATCTGCATGAAACTCTTTTCCGCATAAAGCTGACTGTTCGCTTAAAAAACTGAAACTAATGCCGCTTCAAAAATATTTTCTTATGAATATATTTTTTTTGAAATTTTTGTGATTTTGTAATTTTTATATTCTTGCGTTCATTGAGAACAATTTTTGAAACATCTAGATTAGACTGACAGATTTCAAACGGACGAGGATTTTTCTGGGCACGAAAATTAGGCGTTTTGGGCACGGTGTGTCACTTTCCGTGCCCAAAAAAATCTTTGGGCACGGTTATTTATTTGGGAACGGTAATTAGCCGAAATGGACACGGTTTGCCAATTTTCGTGCCCAAAAAACCGTTCGTCTTATTTGGACACGGTTTTCCTTTCTGAAACTCGGGAATGCTGCATTCCATTCGCTTGTAAGCTGTGTGCCGCAACGTCACACCAGAAACTGTATTACTAATTTCTTTAGATCTTGTAATCGTGAGAGATCTGACACTGTAATAGCCAAAATGCATCATGAGTCCCAATACATGTTTGCAGACGTACTGTTTCAAGTTTTGTTTGCATGCACATATCACGGGCGTTGAGACGAGTCTGGCAGCGTACATCCAAGTGGAAAAGCATCAAAACTTTGCCACGACAACGTTTCTAGTTGTTGTAGCCAGAGATGAGAAGGAATATGCGCCAGAGATGAGGAGGGAACTACATGTGTATGGCCATACCAGTACAACAACTGACTTTTGTCCAAATTTTGAATCCATTTATGAGCATCTTTCTGGTGAGAATGGTTGACAGCGGGAAAGGTTAGAAAACCGCGTTTCACACAGCTTATAAGCGAATGGAATGCAGCATTCCCGAGTTTCAGAAAGGAAAACCGTGTCCAAATAAGACGAACGGTTTTTTTGGGCACGAAAATTGGCAAACCGTGTCCATTTCGGCTAATTACCGTTCCCAAATAAATAACCGTGTCCAAAACAGTCGAAAGATTTTTTTGGGCACGGAAAGTGGCACACCGTGCCCAAAACAGAATTTGTCCGATTTCAAACTGTATAGACTTTTTCTCATTAAAAGTGTCCAGTATACGTCCAAGTTGAAAATGTGACATCTTTTGTATAATATATGTCTCACAGAATCGATCCACACAAAAGAGAAAATTCCAGAGTCTTATAGGTTATTGACCAACTTTCTACAGTGCCTTGTTTCGTCACCTCTATAAGTTTTGACAATTGTAGAAATTGCCACAGCACTGCTGTATGCTACAAAAAGAAATCCTACTTTTCAACTTCCTTCGCTGAAACTTTTTTCAAATCCCCTTTCGTTTTAAAAGGGAATTGTTGCGATGGCAGAAACTGGCTTGATCGATTTAGCTAAAAATTTTAATAAAGGATAGACTATACAGAATGCTAGGCTTTTCTTCTCTTTTGGAATACATTCTTGTTTTCTGGGAAACTGATAAATCTTTAAAAAAGTAGCCAACAATGTCGCTGGAACGAGAGAAATTTTTCGAAATAAAAAAAAATCATTATGTAAGTCGATATTAATCCCTCTTCGAAACGGTTTTCAGAGGATCAACCATTTTTTCCGTAACTATTAGTTCTAGAATATCTAAACTATGCAATGGCATACGTCACGCATAGGAAAACATTTTCACTATTGATTGAAATCTATGCGTGTTGAACCGTTCTCTATTACTGACTTTTAATATATTTGCTATCATTTTAGATTATATTCATTTCAGTTTTTCATTCTCTTGTATTTTTGAAACATGGAAAAATTAGCTAATCTATTTCATACAAAAACTCCTAAAGAAATTGCTCGTGAAAATAAACGTGAAATAACTCGAGCACGTCGAGAATTACAACGTGAAACACAGCGTTTACAAACTAATCAACGACAACAAGAAAATGAAATTCGTAAATTAGCTGCCAAAGGAGAGCAAGTATGATGAAATTAAGTGATGTACTTTTGAAAATAATAATTTGTTTTCCCATTGTGTTAATATTTAGAAAGCTCTTCGTCAATATGCTAAAAATATTGTTAAAACACGTAATCAATTGAACAAAATATCTCAAATGGATGCCACATTGTCCGCATTAGAAAGTGAAATAACAACAATAACGACAAATCAAACAATGGCAGACGTTATGGTGAAAACAACAAGAACATTAGAACGAATAAATAAAATGGTATGTAATATATAAATATCGATTATTTTTAAACTACTTTCATTGTCTATTGTTGTTTTTTGTTCAGATTCCACTACAAGGTTTTCAACAGACTATGATGAAGTATGAAAAAAATAAGGAAATGAACGAGATCAAACAAGAAATGATGGAAGATGCTATGGATAGTGCCTTTGATGGAGAAGCAGATGAAGCAGAAACGTATGTATCATGAGTTTTATAATGACACAGAATATAAATTTAAGAGTATTTTTCGATTGATTTAATTAAGTAAAAAGTAGAAGCACAAGATCAACATTTGTCTGTTTTGAAATTGTAGTTTATGTACTGTTCTATTAGTATTTCATGGTATTTCTATGCTCATGACTTTTTAGTAAACATTAGGCAATCAACAAAAGGGTAATGTAACGTATACTTTTGAATTTGAATGTGAAACGTTTCCATTTGAATCTATGAAATGAAATTACGTCAAGTTTATCAAGAGAAAATATTTGCTACTTTACTCTGTTTTGTTAAAAAACATGGGAAAAATAACTAAATGTTCTTGAATTGCAATTTTAATAGAAATAATAATTTGTTTGTTTATTTCTTTTCTTCTAGAGATCAACTTGTGGATCAAGTACTTGGCGAACTCAATATCAATATTGCTAGTCAAATGCCAAGTATGATTATTCGTTTCTTTGTAAACAGTAGTATATTTCTTGCTTTAATATATACGAAAACTGTGTCTCATTGCGAGAATTTTTGTCATGAGATATTATTGAATGCATAACACTTGATATAAAGTCTGATTACCTGACTTTTGTAAGATTTGTCTTATGAGATTATAAGTAAGAGTTGTTTGATCGATGAAGTTAGTTGTAACTCAGCTGATGTGCACATATGTCTTCAAAAATTATACTAATTCGATCAATTTTCTAGTTTCATGTCTTTTTTTCTTTTTGAGTGATGATGACAGTCGTTAGTTAACAGTATAACTGTTTACATACTTTTTCAAAACTTTTCGGTTTGTTTGTTTTATATAGGTGTTCAAAGTGGTCCAATTGCCGCTGGTGGCGCTCGTGCAGCAGCCCAACCTCAAGCAGTATCAACAGCTGATGCTGATTTAGCAGCTCGTCTTGATGCATTACGTCGAAATTAGAAAATCTTGTTATTGATCTTACATTGATTAATAATTTTAAAAATAATGTTCCTTTGTATCATTTAATGTACATAAATGATGAAAATACCATCTAGGGCATCTCGGTTTTTCTCCCGTTACGTGTAATTCGTGCTTGCTTCTACTTTATTTTCGCTATATTTTTACATTAACATTCTTGGCCATACACACGTGCGAAACATGTATTCTAATACTCTTTTCTTCACTCTTACTGTTGTTTCAAATAAAACTTTAACAGCCAATGAAAAAAAGAGGTTTTTTAGCAAATATGGTGTATTTTGGTAAATTTCACCGTTAGCTTATCTGCAGAACTGAGATATTCGTCTCATATAACTAAACATTTATTTTCTGCTGAAACTCGTTGTCTTTGGTTATTTAGTGTATATACTTTTATTCAATAGATTTTATGATACAAAAACTGTTTGTGGTACAGTGAGATTTTTTTCGCATGTGTCCTGTCTGTATGTATGGTCAAGATTGCAGTTAGTGCCAATTTTTTATTCATAATATATTACTCTGAAAGTTCAACTTTACTCTAAATTCGTAATTTTATCAAAAGTTTTAAGAAAAAATTGAAAAATGTTTATTGTCCGGATTTGATAACTGTGGATTGAAAGTTAGATGAATCATGCATTTCAGCCAAATATTCTCGATAAACTTGATCGAAAAATGTTTTGTGTGTAACCGGACTTGACTTGTAACTTGCCCAGCTCCGAGCAGGACTCAAAGATAAGCAGGAAAAGTTGTATATTATCTTTCTTTTCGTAGTGGTGTGGGACTATAGGTCAATAAAAGAGGATAAATTTATTGCAAAACGCTACTTTTTCTTTTAATAAAATAAATGTGGTTAATTCAAGGAGGAAAAAGAACACTACACTATCAGAGATTGTCCACTACACATCCACTATACGCCACTACATATCTGCTGCACATTCATTACATGTGGTGAAAATTCTTAGAAGTGACTAAGAGCGATAATAAAGTATTTTTAATCGGCTATATCAATGCTAATGTCTTCTCATTTCAATTTTTTCTGTTCTAATATTTTTCTAACACTTAAACAAAATAATTTTTCAATTAATCATAAAAATTATTGACCAGTGATATTGGATAAATTTTTGTCATCATTATCATCATTGTTATTGCTTGACATGTTTTCAAATAAATATTGAACAGAAACTAAATAGAAGCTTTCAGAAAACAATCTCCAATATATTCTTAGATAAAATCAGACTAAGAAAAAAAGAAAACAACAATAATTCAAAACCAGAATTATTACGGGTCGTCTTGAAATCACTGTACAACAGACAGATGACTGATCCTTTTCAAGTGACGCAGGAGTGACTTGAAGAATCGTAGTGTGTCTTTCAGTGAAACTAAGAGGAAAGCGTCGTATTAGTAACACACAAGTGTGTGTATGTCGCTGTCTTGGCGAGCTATTGAAGACCAGACACTTCGGTAACAATTTTCAGCATAGTGTGAAACCAAGGCTTTTCATTCAGAACAATGGCCAGAAAATGGCTGATATTCTAGTTACTTTAGTGAAGTCAAAATTTGCAGTAAGATGATCGCCATTGAGCTTAAGTAAAACCGAAAAAGCAGCTATCATCCGCCGGATTGAGGCCTACTAATATGTAATTTCAGCTTTATTATCGCCTTTTCGTGCTGTTATTTCGTCGTTTTGCATACTTTTCGCATAACGGACAGTCGTCAGAAATTTCATGCTAGGCAGCAATACTTTTCTTGCATCATACAATAAAACTGTTACGATTTAACTATTTGATATCTCTGCACGTGTCTGAGCGAGAGTTTCTATATGTGAAATGAGTTGGAAATTATGTGTCATACCAGTACATTAACCTGTACATAGCAAATCGGGCTATTTTTCATCGGGGTGGTTTGGGAAGAAATGGTATACATATTCTAATCCGTCTTTTTGCGTAGAGTCCGAATCTGGTATCCGCTTTTTGGTACAAAGTCTACTTTTCGAGAAAAGAACGAAAAACTGGTTTCTAGTGGAAATTATTCGTTTTCACACATTTTTTTCCGTTCTGCTGTATGGATATACTTTTTCTTCCAGTGTCTCTTTTATGCGAGTGCTGTCAAGGAAGAGAGAGAACGAAACAGAAAATAGTGTGATCATATATAAGTGCTGTACAACGATAATACATTTATCTTCAAAAACAGAATATCTGTAAAAGTCACCTCGAGCTGAAAAAAACTAAAAAATCTACCCAAAAATTTACACAGAAAAAGCATGAAAATTGATAAGTAGTAGGAAGCAAATATCAATAAGAAATTTAATCTATACAGAGCGAGTTCTTTCACCACGAAGTATTTTCATGAACAAATAATACTTCTATTCAAACTGTCCCTTAAAAAATCCCTTAAAACTAGACAACAGGACGAGAAATAATAAGTGCTAAAAAACTAGACGAGCGGACGAGAACTTTGAAAGTAGAAACATGGCCTTTGAAACGCATTGAGCTAGAGGCATAAAGGGTGTCCTACAAGTTCTGAAACGATTTCTAGAACTATCAATTTACCCCAGTCATCGGTTCTTATATAAGAATCTTGCAAGCATCTAAGTCTACTTTTATTTGATAACAACACAACACTTTAACAAACGTCACTATTCAGCAACAGGCATATATAGCAGACAAGTCTATAGCGAGTAATGAATAAGAATTTTAACGAATAACACTAGTAAATGAAAAAAAATGAAAAAATGATTCTATTTGGGGATTAGGGAGGAAGAGTTTGATATGCTATACTTCACAACAGATGTGGTTAATTAAAACAAAAATAATAGTTCAGTCTTTAACAGTGAAGCGATCCGTCACCTGGATGTATTCAAGCACGGCTTTGACGACAATATTCAATTCTTTAGTAGTAGGAAGAACTTCAAGCAAGAGCGTTTTCAAATCAAATGGAAGATGAACGAACTGCGACTGAAAGATCAATCTTAAAGCTGATCGAGCAACATCAAATAACGAACAGTCAAAGAAATAGTGAGCGATACTCTCTTCTGTTGAATTATTACACATACAGAACGGATTAGGTTCTAAACTCCGTCGAAATACGTCTTTTTGAAGCTGCGGAAAGCCAACTCTAAATCTGCAATAAGTAATATCAACATTCCTGTTGTCAATTAATGGTATTTTAATCCGCTGTTGTTTTGGCGATAAACACGTTTTAAACTTCCCTATACGAAAAGTCATTCGAGTTTCAATTGGGAGTGCATTGTAATCTCTGGCGGTCCGATAAATCATTGATTCGTATAGCATATTTAAACGGCACCATGGTGCAGGTAAAAGCATCCTTTCTCGATTTCGGAGAGAGTAAGAAAAATTGATGGGAGGTATGGAACGTGAAGGTAACAACGTTTTAAAAAGGAAGGCGTTTTTCTCGTGACTACTTTTTGAAATAAAACTAACCTATGTCGTTTCACGCAAAGCTTCCCATCTCAGATCTTTAAAGACTCGTTCCTGTGAACTATACATCATTACTCCAGAAACCGCTCGAGCAGCCTTATACTGTGCTGACTCAAATCGCTCTAAGCTTTTATCGGTAGTATTTCCGTATATAACTGACGCATAAGTAAACACATTCAATACAAAGGACTTGTACACTAAATTCAACGCCTGTCTGGAAAGAGCACGAGTATGAAGTTTCAACAATCCAACTAATGAATTCACCTTACTTAAAACATAATCAACATGAGCAGTCCAATCGAGATTACACTTCAGTACTAACCCTGAATGTTTTTGCTCCTTTACATATGAGAGAGGTAAATTATTGATTAAAACAGGTAAAAACCTAGAATATTTCTCTCACTTGTAGCAAACAACATCGCTTTATATTTATCAATATTTAAGCTTAGTTTCTAGTTAATAGACCAAGAATAAATCTATTCCATATCCTTGTCGATTTCCTCGATGGATTTTTTCAAGTCATTTTTTTTCTGTCACACGATATAGCGATGCATCATCTGCAAAAAATCGCATATTTTATGTAATATTTTCACCAAGATCGTCCATATATATTAAATATAGCATCTTGTATGAATCTTATAAGAATCTTACTCAATTCTTATATGAGATCTTCCACGAAAGTGACAAGAATTCTGCTGAATCTTATAAGAATCTCACAACAATTCATAAGAAATTGGTAAGAGTCAGCAAAACTCTTACGTTATTCTTATCAGATTCTTATGAGAAATATGA